GCTATGCTGTGCCAGATGCCAGAATATGCCAACACTGGCTGAGCAGGCCTTTTCAGCGCGAGGTTCGAGACGCAGCACGGTCCTGTCTCCCTGATGCAGACGAAGTACGAGGATTGGCAGGCCCCACATGGCGGCATTCCCAGAGTCAGACTTGAGGGCAAGTTCGATGCTTAGGGCTTTGATCGAGGTGCGGTGCCTCGAGGATATGCGCAAGGGGTTGGTCCACATTTCAGGAGGTAAGTCGGGTTTGCTGTCGTGCTATGCTTCTGGTTAGCCCCCCAGGAGCTGCAGAATACCCCCGGACCAGACGTTAGTCACACACGGAACAGCTCCACGATCTCTTTAGCACAAACTGAAAGTTTCAGGATAATCGGAGCATCGCGAGGGTTGAGCCTGGCCAGGTCGTTGCCATGTTTCGGCGCCCAGCGCAGAGGCACGAACAGCGGCGAAAAAGCATCTAGAGCATTTATAAGGGGGCCCCTCCTCCCCAGCACGTCAACCCTTAGCCCTTCCTCCGTCGAAGTCGCCTCCCTTCACTGAAGTGGTTTCGGGCTTACAAAGTTCGTCCGAGGTCGCCTAGGGAGGGTACACCCCTCCGGGAGTTCGGCCCTAGGAAGTCGAGCTGCTAAGCCTCCCAAGCCAGAAACCAAGTCCAAAAGCGCCAAAAGCCGAAGTAGCACCAAATAGCACTAGCTACTGCACGCCACCGGCAGGCTCATCTCTGCGTACCACAATGGCTTCCATGCCAGCGGCTTCAGGGGCGAAGAGTACACCGACTTGATACAGGCCAGACATGGGGGCTCAAGGAGCCGAGATGCACACAGATGGCTTCATTACTTGAGATCCCCACCCCATCCCCCGCAAACTTGAGAAGAGCCCCATTTTTGCTATTTGCACTCGGATCCCCTCTGAGAATCCCCTGAGAAGGCATGCAGCCCCTTGGGTCCCATCAAGGCGGCAGCCTGCTATGCGCGATTCACAGGCACCTGGGCGCGACTCCTGTGCTGCTTTGGGTGCAGATGGGTGTAGGGCTGACGAGATCTGACGAGCACCGCAGCAGCGTTGATGCAGGCATCGCCGGCTGCACCGCCCGCATGCTCACGGGCGCTCCATGCGCGGAGTCGGCAAAGATTCGGCCGCACGTCCAGGGATAGTCTTTCACGGAGGGTTTGACGCAGGACATT